TTCCTTCCTTCCTTCCTTCTTCCCTCCCTCTTGTCCTTCCTTCCTTTCTTCCTTCCCCTCTCTCTTTCCCCTTCCTTCCTTCCTTCCTTCCTTCCTTCCTTCCTTCCTTCCCTCCTTCCTTCATTTCTTTTTTTAAGACAGGGCCTCAGTGTGTAGCCCTTGTTGACCTCCAACTACATATTCTTCTCCCTTACCTTTCCAATTGCTAATTAAATATACAAGTATTTTTAAAATGGGGGTGGCACATTAGAGCACTCATCCCTTTAACTTGTTGAGTGAAGAATTTGAAATCAGCAATGGAACCACCAAGTACCACCAAGTCCTTAATTCTTCCCCACAAGAAACCTGGCTTGTCAGTGTTATTGGAATGGGCTCCAGTTCTGTAAAATTTTGCTGAACCTTTGTTATCATAGCTCATTTTAGAAATGTTTTAATTATGTACGTGGTGTGTGTGTGTGTGTGTGTGTGTGTGTGTGTGTGTGTACATACATGTGTGTGTATGCATGTAGAGGCCACAAGTCAACAGTTGTGGTGGTATTTTGTTCCCCAAAATATTGTGCACCCTAATAAAGTTATCTGGGGTCAGAGACAGAACAGCCAGTGGATACAAAGGCTAGAAAATGGTGGCACTCACACCTTTAATCCTAGCACTCCAGAGGTAGAAATCCCTCTGGATCTCTGTGAGTTTGAGGTCACATTGGAAACAGCCAGGCATGGTGACACATGCCTTTAATCCCAGGGAGTGAGTCTTTAATCCCAGGGAGTGATGGCAAAAACAGAAAGGTATATAAGGTGTGAAGACCAGAAACTAAGAAGCATTTGGCTGGTTAAGCTTTTAGGCTTTCGAGCAGCACAGTTCAGCTGAGATCCCTTTGGATGAGGACACAGAAGCTTCCAGTCTGAGGAAACAAGATCAGCTGAGAAGTTGGCCAGGTGAGGTTAGCTGTAGCTTGTTCTGTCTCTCTCATCTTCCAGTGTTCACCCCAATACCTGGCTCAGGTTTGATTTTATTAATAAGAACTTTTAAGATTTCTGCTACAATTAGTTGTCTTCTATCATTCTCCACTTTATTTTTTGAGACAGGGTCTCCCACTGAACCTGGCACTCGCCAACGGACTAGACTGAATGGCCACTGAGGCCCTGGCTTCCTCCTGTCTCTGCCTCTGAGTGCCCAGCTTTTCGTTGGGCACTGGGACTCCAAACTCGGGCCCTCAAACTTGTGCAGCAGGTAGCCTTTGCTGCAGTCCCCAGATGTCACATATTCTAATGCATGCTTTAAAAAACACTTGACTTTCCTGAATTCAGGATACAACTTCAAACTAACGGTATGCCATGGTATAGCCGTTAGTACTTTTTCTCAGTCATTTTTGAAATAACGGTGTATCTTCCAATCAGTGTGGTTTCAGATATGGTGAAATAGGAAATGCGCTAGACTGGGGATATGGGAATCAAAGGATTTATGAATATGACCAGTCTCTCCGACGACAGGGCCCTTAGTTGCACAGTGAACTAAAACAAAGTGCTAAGAGCTGTCATAGCAAGTGCAGTTAGAAGACAGAAGAGTTTGTAGCTAGAGTTTTCCTGCCTTGTCCATAGTTAGGACAAATCTTTGTCACCCGCCAGTCCCACAGCCTCTCAGACCCAACCAAGTAAACACAGAGACTTATATTGCTTACAAACTGTATGGCCATGGCAGGCTTCTTGCTAACTGTTCTTATAGCTTAAATTAATCCATTTCCATAAATCTATACCTTGCCACGTGGCTCGTGGCTTACCGGCATCTTGACATGCTGCTTGTCCTGGTAGCGGCTGGCAGTGTCTCCCTCTGT